ACAAGCACACGCTGCGCGTCCTCCAGGACGTCAGCTCCGACCCTTCCTCCAACCTCTCCTCCCACTCGCTGGAGAAGCTGCCGCCTGCGGCGGAGCCCGCCGAAGGCACTTGGCGAGGACGGGACGCTGGCACCTCACAGCCCCGAGACCCCGCGCACCGGCCGCTGCTGCACGCCCACGGAGTCTTGAGGACGGGGCCGCCGCCAGGCCCCAGCGGGGATGGCTCGCTGTTGGCCAGGCTGTTTGAACACCCGCTGTACCAGGTGGCCGCCCCTCCAGTAACAGAAGACGATGTATTGTTTAATGTCAATAGCGACATCAGGTTCAACCCCAAGGCAGCGGAGAACCCCGAATGGTGAGGGGATTGGCTCTAATACAGGGGGTGGGGCACACGTTGGGTGGGTGCTGACAGGCCTGTTTCCTCGGGGAACCACACGGCCTCTGTGAAAACCCTGTGAGCCCCATGATTCAGAATATGCCCCAGGTGTGCCAACAGATCCAGGGGCTGGGCAATCTCCCAGAGGGCTTGGCCAACTGTAAGAGGCTCCTTCCCCATGGCTGTGGGGAGGCCCAGGGCTCTGGGTGGCACTGCCTTTGTCTTGGAGCCCCCCTCTCCCCAGGGGGCTGCTGGGGGTTGGAGTTTTCCAAGGTCCTGGCCACAGACAGACTGACACCCATGCATGCCTAAGGAATTCCGCACCTGCATTTTCCCAGCAGCAGCCCTGCCCTGCCCTGCCCTGCAGGCCCTGGTCCCAGGCCCGGCAGGTGGGTTAGCAGTGGATGAATGAGCCAGTGAGACAAAGGGGTCTCCCTTGAGCAGGCCAGCTTCCAGGGGTGAGGGCAGAAGCTTTCAAGGCAGGAACCGCCCCCAGATCCAGCCTCTTTCCAGACCTGGGTCTCACACCTCCCCAGGCGCTCTCAGCCAGGAGCTCGAAGCAACCAGATGCAGCAGCCTAGGTGGTAATACAGGAACTGCCAGCCAGGCCACAGTGAGCCACCACCAACAGAGGGTCCCCAAGCAGAGTGGGGAGGTTTCCCCAAGCAGCCGGGTGGAAGTGGGGAGAGAGTTCCCCAAGCAGCAGGCAAGGGTGGTAAGCCAAGGGCAGGGTTCCCAA